GCTGCGGAGCAGTCAAGGAGTCTCAGAGGAACAACATGACCGTGCACGTATGCTGGCACAGGAATACCAGCATCAGCTATAGCGATCAGCTGCGAGCGTTTCAAGTGAGTTGTTTCTATGACCTTGGAAAGAGAGCCGGGATTTTACAGCGTTCACGTTTCAGAACCAACTTAGCGGATTTCTCTTGAGGAAATTCAAGAATAGTAACGGTTGGCAAAAGCTCTGGGTCGTGTTCACGGACTTCTGCCTGTTCTTCTACAAATCCCACCAGGACGACTTCCCGTTGGCCAGCCTGCCGCTGTTAGGCTACACCGTGACCACGCCTTCTGAAAAGGACGGGATCAACAAGGACTTTGTATTCAAACTGCAGTTCAAGAACCACGTCTACTTCTTCCGCGCGGAGAGCGACTATACTTTCAACAGGTGGGCCTCGAAGTTTTCGCTTCGCATTATACAGAGATGTATTGTTACAGTTTGCATTCAGTCAATGAAATTTCAGGTGGATGGAGGTGATCCGCAGCGCAACGCAATAGGAGATTCGTCGGTTCCAACGGGAAGGAGGATTATTAAGCGTGTTCTATTGTACGACACAGTATATTAGACGAAAGAGATTTAGGAGTGTAAATCAGGATAGCGAAATTGTGCGGCCTTACGCGTGGACTGGGCAGTGATTGATCTAGATCAAAATTGTAACCGACAATCAAACGGACGAGAACCGTGTGTACGAAGACTGTAGAAGGAAGCATTTACATTTCCCATGAAATTCCGGCGCGGACGCTGAAAATGCCATGACTTGCCTTCGCGAAAGTAGTGAAACTGCATTTATTCGGATTCCTCGTGGTTTCTACAGATGATATTTGGCATCTTTACAATGTCGTTTGATCGTTGTACGAAAGATCGTGGACCAGGTCCGGTAATTTCAGCGTCGAAAGAGAACATAGATCGCGGTTTCCTTGTGCCGCGACACCGCTGACACGCGATAATAACGGTGATAGTCGGCGTGTAAATAGAATGATTTAGAGTTAAGCGTATCGCCCGTTTTCTTTCCGAGTCGCTGTGCACTCGCCGGACACGCGCGATAACAACGAGCGCGCTCGGGGCACGACGGCCGCAGCCATAATTAATTCGTCGTGTCACGGCGTCGCGACGCGCTCGAACCTTGGACCAATTTTCCAATTAGATTTCCTTATCGATGACCCATGTCTTGTGAAAAAGACAATAATTTTGGTTAGCATAGTACTCTTCTTGTTAGCGGATTTACCAATCGGTTGTTGACGAAGACGCGCGCACGCGCGCGCGCGCGGAGTTGTTGTTTCCCCGTTAGTCGATAAGTATTCTTCCAGTGATCGTTTTTTGTTCGTGATTGGACTAAGGATACGCGAACCAATCGATAATGTAACCTGTTAAACGGGCGACTACAATCTAGACTGATATAGATATTACAAAGTAACGGTAAGCATTTTTACGTAGGTGACGTACCGAGAAAACGGAACGTCACCGGAGGTTACAATGGGAGATAAACGACCGACGCGTTCTCCCCGGTTAACAGGTTCACCGTTATCTGTTTTTCAGTTGCTCCGATTGTTTTGTTAATAGCATAGGATTTAATTTATATATATATATATATGTATACACACACACACACACACACACACATATTATATATATATATATAAAAAAAAAGATAAGAGAAGAAAATATTAGTTTTATACTCGAATAAGAGAAGAACTGTACTGACAAGATCGGAAACGTCGGATCGCGACCATTTTTCAGTTCTCGTACGTTTATTCAACAAAAAGAAGGGAAAAAAGAAAGAAAGAAAGAAGAAGAAGCGAGGAAAAACAAAAAGACAGAACGGTACCGTTTTCGCCGATCCAAGCGAGTTTCATAACTCGGACTCGAAATGTAAACCGTTATGTAACATTAATGTATTCCGCAATAAACGTACATATTGACACTCGCAGCTGACATTTCGCGACAGAGTACCAGCAACCCTCGCTAATTAAGAAAAAAATTTTCCATTCTATCGCGTCCATAAAACGCGCGCGTCCCACGATCGTCGTTTCCCAAGGTTACTTTACGTACGAAATTCTAAAAAAAATATGTACCGCCAACCTTTCAACGCCCCAACCGAGAGAAACTTTTGCCGATCGTGCGACCACAAAACTTTCGGTTAAACAACCCCCGTCCCCAGAGAAACGTAGGAGTTGCCTGGAGGCAGTGCAGCCTGCAACCCGCGGCGCGCAGAGACTTCGTCGAACGCGCAACGCCGTTTAACAAAGGTGACGAAACCTTGGGGCTCGCTGGTTCTCGTCGGACCGAATCGCGCGACTCGGATCCACGCGGCGAGACTTTTTCGTGCCCGATCAATTCCCGCTAACGAGCTTAACGAGCGGCGGTGGCGGACAGTGTGTGCACGCGCAATTCGCACGCGGCCCCGATCGATCGCGTTCATTTTTGTTTTTTTTTCTTTTTTCTTCTGATTTCACCGTTTATTTCCAGCCGGTTTCTATCGGCGACGCGTGAAAAAGCCGCTGGAAATACCCGCAAAGAGATCGCGGCCGATAGACACACAAGTCCGGCAACCGTTTCCCCGATATCGCGGCGATCGATCGCCGCCGCGATTCCCGTCGTATTAATTACTATATGCGAATCCGGTCAGACTGGTATTCAATCGAGAGCCTCCTCTTTTATCCTTGTGACGAGCGAATCGGACAAAACTAATTGTGTTATTGTATGCGATGCAGGCGAACGATGGAATCGCGCGAAATTCTCCCGTCGGATCGCGGACGCGATCCGCGGCCGCGCGCGCGATTGTATAATCGTGATCCATCGTTTGCGTACACGTTTGCGTACAAATTCGAACATGTTGTGCCCGACGATCCGGGTCAATGTCGGCGCGACCGATCCATCGAGCCGGGGGTTATCGCCGATTTTTCTCGACCGTCTACGCGGAATGCGATCGCAGTTTTTGTATCCGCGGCGGCGGCGTACGTAGTTTCCCCGGCCCCTTATCGATCTTCCAAAACGAAATCACCGCTGGGAAACGGCTATCGCCGCGATTCCCGATGACGCAGTCGTCGGGCCGTGCTGTTTTCTCAACCGATTATCTGTCGAATTCGCGGCTGTCCAACGGAAAGCCCCGTATATCGTATCGGCCGATAAGAAATCGCTTACCGTTTCTGTGAACAAATTATGGGATCGCGGAAAAGCGCAAGGATGCGCGGGAAAGTCGCCAGGCCGGGCCGCCGCTTCAAGGACTACGGGTTCACGAGACAGGCGCCAACTACGGCGGATCACCAAGTGTCGATTTCATGAAAAATGGTGCCGCAACAAATTACTTCGTTAATCTCTTTGTTGTGCCGTTCGATCGCGTATGCATTCCAACGCTAGATTTACGGGCCACGAGAAAAACGGCTGTTTTTTTTTATATTATTGGATCGTTCGGAAAGTTGCTCCGTTCTTTCGCGAGAGATGAAAGACGATTTTTTAATGTCCAGAGCGAAAATGAAACTGTTTGACATTTTTCCGGTAACTTCGAACTCTTACGCTCATAGACGTCTTATTTTATGATCGATAATACTGAATTATGTACTTTTTTAACACCCTTACGAAACGAAATTCTTGTTGTAAAACGAAGCAAGTTACCGAACGACCCAATAGTTTGTAAAAAGTAACAATAAGACGTTCATTCTGATTTTTAGCGAGCGTTATTTGTAACATTTACCGTGAGTAACGTGTCGATTGAATAAATAACTCGCAAATGTATCGTTACGAGACGAATAATCGTGAATTAGGAAATCAGTGACCCGCCATTTTGACGGGACCCGTGAATCTAGCGTTAAGGATCGCGCCGCGCGCCGTTCCTCCCAAGCCAGTCCATTCCATTAATAATTAATGGAAAATGTGCGAAGTTTGTGAACACGTTTCGCATCAAAATTTGTCGGAAAATTTGCCCGCGACGAGTAAACTCGTCGTCGACGGCTGACATTCAAATCTGCGAGCACTAAAAGCGACGTGTTACTTCGTTTCAACGACAAGATCGAATGTATTCAGATCTTTTTCTGTCTCGATCATATTGTACGCTTCGATCGAGAAATTTATCCAACGGTTTCCTGTGTATTTGCGCAATTTTAAATCTCAATTCAAATCCTATAGTTCCAGCAACTTTAAACAAAAAAATCTAAAAAGCCGGTTACGATAATTTCTCTCCGATTGTCTCTGCATTATCTCTCCGTATTATCGGTATTATCGTATTACCGTGGATTCATTAAAATGATTAAAAAAAGAAACACTGTAAATTCTCTCTGATCGACGCTCAGATTGTATATAAAAGCCTCGCGGCTCGCTTTCATAGTCGTTGGCAATCGGCGATTACAAAAACGAGCCGCGAGGCTCGCGTTTTCTTTCTCCAAATTCTCCATTTTGGTTTAAAAACCGAGAGACAATCCGCGAGAATTTACCGTACTTTTATCGGCACGATAGATTATAAGCTTCCGCGTTAAAAACTGCGTCTTCTTGGAATCAGAGAACTCGAAGCGCTCGAGGTTACATCTGTGTACATTGTCGCGTTTCGCTCCGCGTCCTCGAACGCTGCATATCGAACCTCGCTACGAATTGGCAGAAAAGGTCATGAACGCAGGCTGTCGGATACTATCGGGCGTAAAAAAAAAGAAAGAAGAAGCGATGTCGATCGACGTGGATCACCAAGTTCAACGACGCGTTGGCCGTCCGATATCGCCGCGGGCGATCGATTTCGTGGAAGAGCCGCGAACGGTCGCCGATTCCTGTCGATAACCAGCCAGGATGTCGGATTCGCGAGCCGTGCTTGGTGGTGCGATCATCGCCGGTTTACCTTAGCCTTGGCCAGCGGACGTTTTTTTGCCCCCGTTGCCGCGTTTCGCGCTTAGATCTGCGTTCGAGGAAGCGTCGCGACGGTTTCAGGAAGATCCGCGGTCTAATCAGAGTGGGAGGGACGATATAAAGATGAGCGATTCGCGTAACGACGGAATAGAAGAAAATCGATCTCTTCGCGACCATGTGGCGGTACCGGAAGATCGGGCTGATTGCCGCGGTGGCCCTCGTCTGCGTCCACGCGCAAGGTACATATTTCTCTTCTACGCTTCTATCGCCGGTCTTCGAATCGTCGCTTCGCACGCTCTGCTAAAACGCGAACACGCGTTTATTTTCCACGGATTAAGTAAAAAAAACTCCATTGGATAAATCGCGAAAGCTGTTTGACTTCGAAAATCGTCCGACTGTGAAACTAGTCTTCAGTGTTTCTGAATCGCACAAGTCTCGAAGATCTGACGAAGATACCTTTTCCGTCCGCGATTTACTCGAATTCGCGACTTCGCTAAATATTAGGGGCACCGGAAAGTTATGTCGTTTGTTTACATTAAATTCAAACAGATAAATATGCGCGGAAACGACATTACTTTCCGGTCCCCCTAATAATTATTCGCCGAAGCAAGAAGTTTCATCGAATCCTTTGCTTACAGATGCTGAGAAAAGAGCTAAGCGATCCCCGTGGTCAGGCCTCGGCGGACTAGGCGGCGGATTTGGAGGAGGTTTCGGCGGAGGATTCGGCGGCGGCGGTGGAGGAGGTGGAGGAGGAGGCGGCGGTGGCGGCGGCGGTTATGGCAGCGGTGGAGGATTCGGTGGCGGAAAGGGTGGTGGCCTTGGCGGTGGCTTAGGAAGTGGTGGTGGCCTTGGCGGTGGCCTAGGAAGTGGTGGCGGCCTCGGAGGAGGTGCCGGAGGCCATGGACCAGGTGGTGGNTAAATCTCAATTCAAATCCTATAGTTCCAGCAACTTTAAACAAAAAAATCTAAAAAGCCGGTTACGATAATTTCTCTCCGATTGTCTCTGCATTATCTCTCCGTATTATCGGTATTATCGTATTACCGTGGATTCATTAAAATGATTAAAAAAAGAAACACTGTAAATTCTCTCTGATCGACGCTCAGATTGTATATAAAAGCCTCGCGGCTCGCTTTCATAGTCGTTGGCAATCGGCGATTACAAAAACGAGCCGCGAGGCTCGCGTTTTCTTTCTCCAAATTCTCCATTTTGGTTTAAAAACCGAGAGACAATCCGCGAGAATTTACCGTACTTTTATCGGCACGATAGATTATAAGCTTCCGCGTTAAAAACTGCGTCTTCTTGGAATCAGAGAACTCGAAGCGCTCGAGGTTACATCTGTGTACATTGTCGCGTTTCGCTCCGCGTCCTCGAACGCTGCATATCGAACCTCGCTACGAATTGGCAGAAAAGGTCATGAACGCAGGCTGTCGGATACTATCGGGCGTAAAAAAAAAGAAAGAAGAAGCGATGTCGATCGACGTGGATCACCAAGTTCAACGACGCGTTGGCCGTCCGATATCGCCGCGGGCGATCGATTTCGTGGAAGAGCCGCGAACGGTCGCCGATTCCTGTCGATAACCAGCCAGGATGTCGGATTCGCGAGCCGTGCTTGGTGGTGCGATCATCGCCGGTTTACCTTAGCCTTGGCCAGCGGACGTTTTTTTGCCCCCGTTGCCGCGTTTCGCGCTTAGATCTGCGTTCGAGGAAGCGTCGCGACGGTTTCAGGAAGATCCGCGGTCTAATCAGAGTGGGAGGGACGATATAAAGATGAGCGATTCGCGTAACGACGGAATAGAAGAAAATCGATCTCTTCGCGACCATGTGGCGGTACCGGAAGATCGGGCTGATTGCCGCGGTGGCCCTCGTCTGCGTCCACGCGCAAGGTACATATTTCTCTTCTACGCTTCTATCGCCGGTCTTCGAATCGTCGCTTCGCACGCTCTGCTAAAACGCGAACACGCGTTTATTTTCCACGGATTAAGTAAAAAAAACTCCATTGGATAAATCGCGAAAGCTGTTTGACTTCGAAAATCGTCCGACTGTGAAACTAGTCTTCAGTGTTTCTGAATCGCACAAGTCTCGAAGATCTGACGAAGATACCTTTTCCGTCCGCGATTTACTCGAATTCGCGACTTCGCTAAATATTAGGGGCACCGGAAAGTTATGTCGTTTGTTTACATTAAATTCAAACAGATAAATATGCGCGGAAACGACATTACTTTCCGGTCCCCCTAATAATTATTCGCCGAAGCAAGAAGTTTCATCGAATCCTTTGCTTACAGATGCTGAGAAAAGAGCTAAGCGATCCCCGTGGTCAGGCCTCGGCGGACTAGGCGGCGGATTTGGAGGAGGTTTCGGCGGAGGATTCGGCGGCGGCGGTGGAGGAGGTGGAGGAGGAGGCGGCGGTGGCGGCGGCGGTTATGGCAGCGGTGGAGGATTCGGTGGCGGAAAGGGTGGTGGCCTTGGCGGTGGCTTAGGAAGTGGTGGTGGCCTTGGCGGTGGCCTAGGAAGTGGTGGCGGCCTCGGAGGAGGTGCCGGAGGCCATGGACCAGGTGGTGGTTGCGGTGGCGGCAGTTGCGGCGGCGGAGGCCCCGGCGGCGGCGGAGGCCACGGAGGCGGAGGTGGCCTTGGAAGCGGTGGCGGTGGCGGACTTGGAGGTGGTGGCGGTCTCGGAGGCGGAGCCGGTGGTGCCGGAGGTCACGGCGGTGGAGCCGGCGGTGCCGGAGGCCACGGCGGTGGAGCCGGTGGTGGACCCGGTGGCTATGGAGGATCCGGTGGTGGTGCCGGAGGATACGGAGGAGGCTCCGCTCCTGGAGGTGGCTCAGGAGGATACGGCGGTTCCGGAGCCGGTGGTGGTGCCGGTGGTAGTGCCGGAGGTGGTGCCGGAGGAGGTGCCGGAGGATACGGTGGTTCCGGTGTCGGAGGATACGGAGGCGGCTCCGCTCCCGGAGGTGGCTCCGGAGGATACGGTGGTGCCGGAGGACACGGTGGCGGTGGCGCCGGAGGACACGGTGGCGGCGGTGGTCTTGGAGGCGGATCCGGAGGTGGCGGCGGTCTTGGAGGAGGATCCGGAGGTAAGTACAACAGGAACTTCGATTTCATGCTTACGGCTCTACAACAACTAATGATTATTCGTTTCTGTGTTAGGTTCCGGTGGCGTAACCAAGACTGGCGGTTACGGCGGAGCCGGTGGTTACGGTGGCGCCGGAAGCGGAGCCGGTGGCGGTGCCGGCGGTTATGGTGGCGCCGGAAGCGGAGCCGGTGGCGGTGCCGGTGGTTACGGTGGCGCTGGTGGCGGAGCTGGTGGATACGGAGGAGGTGCGGGTGGAGCTGGAGGACACGGCGGTGGTCTTGGCGGTGGTAACGGAGGCGGTGGCGGTGGTAACGGAGGCGGTGGCGGTGGTAACGGAGCCGGTGGCGGTCTTGGCGGTGGTAACGGAGGCGGCCTTGGCGGCGGTCATGGAGGCGGCGGTGGTCTCGGAGGCGGTGGAGGCCTTGGAGGTGGCCGTGGAGCCGGTGGTGCCGGTGGTTACGGAGGCGCAGGAGGCGGAGCTGGCGGTTATGGAGGCGCAGGCGGTGGAGCCGGTGGTTATGGAGGCGCCGGAAGTGGAGCCGGTGGTGGAGCCGGTGGTTATGGTGGCGCCGGAAATGGAGCCGGTGGTGGATCTGGTGGTTACGGAGGCGCCGGAAGTGGAGGAGCCGGTGGTGGAGCCGGTGGTTATGGTGGCGCCGGAGGTGGTGGAGCCGGTGGTTATGGCGGTGGTGGCAGAGGAGGCCACGGTGGAGGTGGTCTTGGCGGATTCGGTGGATCTTCCGCCACTGCCAATGCGCAAGCCAGCTCTTCCGCAAACGCGCATGCGAGCGCAAACGCGAATGCATTCGCAGGAGGTAACTCTCACGCGGCCGCTAGCGCCAGCGCGAACGCGAACGCTGGAGGCTTCGGAGGACCCGGAGGTTTCGGCGGTTCTGGCGGTGACTACGGTGGCTACGGCCACGGAGTGGAGTAAGTTTCGCTTTAACTTATCTAGCTTGTCTTATCCACCGTGCAAAATGACTAATATTATCTTTTCTCGAATTCCAGTTTGTTCTCTCGAATGGGCGAGATCGACGAGGGCGCGAACAAGAGCGGCTCCGTGACCGGCGCCAAGGGTGTCTACAGCAGCAGCGCGGCCAACCTCGACTCCACTGGAAAGGGCTCGTACAAAGTGTCGGCTGGCAAGATCGTGTAAAATCATTTACCTCCTGGAACCCAGCGGTGGGAGGATAGCTTCATTATTGTAAATTTCACCTGTGATCGAATAGAAAGAAAATGTTTTCTCTTGTACACGCGTCTCTGTAATTCTCGAAAGATCGTCCACCGACATTCCTCTTCCTGTCGATCCTCGTTGAAGTTCTCTCGTTTTTTTTTTATCAAAGGTCTCCCCGACCTGCGCGTCGCATACCATTGTAAACGCGCCGAACACGATATCGTAAATAAAGCAGAGCTCGTTTCAATACGTTGATACAGTTATCTTTTATCTCGCGAGCAGACATTCGTCTCGCTCTTTTGTCAAAGCATTGTTACGACTCGAGCCAGTCTCGCCGTTAAAAATCATTCGAGAAGCGGACGCAAACAACACGACTGATCATCGCGCGATGCTCGAACCCGGATCTATCGCGTCTTGTACGGTTCTCGAATCGATGAGGTATCGATTTTTCATCCGCGGACGATCCGCGGACTGGCCAGCAGTGGCTCATGAATAATTCACGACTAATAGCTCGTCGAGTGATGTAAGCAGAATTCCCGCGGTCTCCGCGATTCGTTTACGATCGTTGGCTCGCGTCGATCCCGCGAGGCTGCGGTCGGTCTCGTTCAACCGATCGCCGAAGGAACGAAAAGCCGCAATGATGCAATTCATTGAAACAACATCCATCGATCTATGATCAAAGTTTATTCGAAGAGATTCTGTCATTCTATCCGTTACGAACGATATCGTCTGCCGATTTATTCTCGTCGGATCGCTGATACGCATAATTCCGCGATTTTCATGCGGCGACGTTGCGAGCGCAGACCGCGAACACCCGCGACCCGACTGCGAATCGTTCGCAGTCGCGTTATAAATCGTTGCGGGCAGATGGATAAACGGACACAAGCAATGAAACAACTCGCGTAACGTGTTTTATTGTTTTAATGGATATACTACGGATCCGTTTGGGCAAGCGACCGGATCATCGCTTATGTCATTAGCAATTATTATCCGCCGCGGCATCGGCCGTCGATCGTAATCTCGGCGTGTAATAGCGGCGCAATCTGTTCGACGAATCGGCGATTAGTTCACCGGCAATTACCGCAACACAGCCGCGCCGCTGGATAGAAATAATACATTCTTTTTATTCTTCGTGCAAGATTGTATCTCGTGATTGTATCTCGCGGGACGGCCAGCGGATTCCAATAAATTACAAGCGAAATTAGCGTGCAAAAGCGAGCATTAACGACCGATAGGCGTGTTAATGCGAAGATCTCCTGGCGTCAACGACATCGTGCCCCTTTCCGTGTCGTCCGTCCTTTTGCTCTCGCGTGTCAGCACCTCCGCCGTTAACCTTTGACGGAACCGGACCAGCCTGGAACGTTAATTAGTCCTGTTACGGGATCAAATTATCGGGAAATTCCGTTCTACGACATTCGACCGGAATTCTTCTGCGATCAAGTTTCGCTTGCCGGCAAAAAAAAGACTCGTCGCGGAAGGCTAGTCTAATCGCGGCGAGTCGTTTCGAGCCACCGTCGACGTTCGTCTCTCAACAAGCATCGAATTTTATAGGAATACCGCAAATTCTCCCCAATTTTCCTTCAGCTTGTAGACAAAAATGGAAAGAGAAGAAAAACAGAAAGGGAAATAATTGTCGACGATAATTGTCGACTATAATTGTCAACGATAAATATGAAAATAGATAGATAAATTGTTGAAAATAACCTCGACAATCGGCAACTATAAAAACGAGCCGCGAGACTCGAATATAATCGTATCTCCTCTTCCCATATCGTCCATTTTTGTGTACAAGCTGAAGGAAAATTAGGGAGAATTTACTGTAGTCGGTTAACTTAATTGTTTAAACAGAATAATTCCCGCACGACTCGCAGAATCCGCGCGATTCCAAAAGACCGTGAAATTTACCGCCGGCGCTGCTACCCGCGAAAGCGGAAGCTCCGCTCGAGGCCCACGATCCGCTTCCGGCATGGCTGCCGGCCAAGCTGCCGGCGTTGCTTCCAGTCCAGCTTCCTCCGTTCGGGTGGCCTAAACCAGCTTGCGCACCTGCAACACAGACCCGTTCGTTTCATTTCAATCTCTACGCGCAATAATCCTCGCTGACGGTTACACAACGCGATCCTTAAAACGGACCGGAAACGACCGATCGGCGATCAGCCAATTATCAGGCTGCGCGTTTGATTAAAATGCGTTACCGTGGGAAACGTTCTGCGCTGTCATTGAAACGTCGGGCAAGCGAGAAGATTCATCGTCCATTCGGTTGTATTAATTGCCGCGCGTCGGAGCCTTCGAGAATTATTGAAACGCACCTGCGGAGGCCTGGGCGCTGCTGAAGGCGCCGGCGAATGCTCCTCCGAAGCCGGCGCCGTGTCCCGGAGCAGCGCCGAAGTCGGCGCCGTGTCCCGGAGCAGCTCCAAAGCCGACACTTCCGGCTGTGGCGGCTCCGAAGCCGGCTCCAGGACCGGTTCCAAAGCCGTCGGAGCCGACTCCGACGCCACCGCCGCTTCCGGAGCCGCGATTCGTCGCCAGAGGATTCTGCTGCGGGCCGTCGTGGTCGAAAGTCGAGCCAGGCCGTGGATGGAAGAACCCTGAGGCATCCGGGTGTACTTTGTCGACGAAGGTCGGGGATCCAGGGGAGCCAGGCGAGCCCGCAGGACCACCCAAGAAGGGATTATCGTTGCCGATGGGCTTCTGGGCGTCTCCGCTAGGCGGAAACTCGTGCTTTCCAGCCGGTCCAGGTCCCGATCCTGATCCTCCGGGTCCGCCAGAGCCTCCTACAGGTGCCGGTGAACCTCCGAAGAACGGGTTCCCAAGGCCGAGCGGCTTGTCGGCGGTTCCCGGTTGCGAGCCACCCGAAGGTCCTAATTGAAATATTTAAGACGAGTTAGGTTTGTTGCTTTGTTCTTTGTTTGTCGGTTTGTTATTAAGCCGAGTTATAAATAACTTCTGATGCGGCTAGATATATAGAGTCTAGCGTTCGCGTCTGTTCACTATGAATTTATTAACAATGATTACCTCCAACAGGGATGGACACTTTTCCAGTCAGGAACGGGTTACCGTCGTAAGATACGGGTGCAGCACCTGCTCCAGTATTTGGAGAACCGGGTGGACAACTACCGTAAGCGCATCCTTGACCGCCGGCTCCTGCGGGAGCACCGCCGCCTGCTCCAGGGAATGGACTCTGTGGACTCTGGGAGAGGCCGTCAGAGCCGATCGGACCGATAACTTTGTCCACGCCGGTCGCGCCTCCTTGGCTGCATGGTTTCTTATCCGGAGACCCGCTGCATCCGCTTCCGCAAGGCTGATCCGAAGACCCGCCGCATCCGCTTCCGCTTCCGCAAGGCTGACCCGAAGAGCCGCCGCATCCGCTTCCGCCTCCGCAAGACTGACCGGAGCAACCAGCGCCGCCTGAAGGATGCTCGCCGAGGGGTTTCTGAGTGTCGGGATAGTTCCTTTCTGGAACAGGTACGTTGCTTCCAATGTTCGGGACCTGTGAGCCACTGGGATGGAACGGTTTAGGGGTGACTGGACCTCCGTAAGATCCAGGTTGATAAGGTTTTATAGTTCCGCCGTATGGTCCAGGCTGATAGGGACTCTGGCCTGGTTTCGTTTCAGGGCCTCCGGGCGAACCAGGTTGGTAAGGTTGCTTAGTAGGTCCAGCACCTCCGTAAGGTCCTGGTTGATAGGGACTCTGGCCAGGCTTTGTTTCAGGGCCGCCAGAGGGACCAGGCTGATAGGGACTCTGGCCAGGCTTTGTTTCAGGGCCACCGGGCGAACCAGGTTGATAAGGTTGTTTAGTGGGTCCGGCACCTCCGTAAGGTCCTGGTTGATAGGGACTCTGGCCAGGCTTTGTTTCAGGGCCGCCAGAGGGACCAGGCTGATAGGGACTCTGGCCAGGCTTTGTTTCAGGGCCACCGGGCGAACCAGGTTGATAAGGTTGTTTAGTGGGTCCGGCACCTCCGTAAGGTCCTGGTTGATAGGGACTCTGGCCAGGCTTTGTTTCAGGGCCACCAGGCGAACCAGGTTGGTAAGGTTGCTTAGTCGGTCCCGCACCTCCGTAAGGTCCTGGTTGATAGGGACTCTGGCCAGGCTTTGTTTCAGGGCCACCAGGCGAACCAGGTTGGTAAGGTTGCTTAGTCGGTCCCGCACCTCCGTAAGGTCCTGGTTGATAGGGACTCTGGCCAGGCTTTGTTTCAGGGCCACCAGGCGAACCAGGTTGGTAAGGTTGCTTAGTCGGTCCCGCACCTCCGTAAGGTCCTGGTTGATAGGGACTCTGGCCAGGCTTTGTTTCAGGGCCACCAGGCGAACCAGGTTGGTAAGGTTGCTTAGTCGGTCCCGCACCTCCGTAAGGTCCTGGTTGATAGGGACTCTGGCCAGGCTTTGTTTCAGGGCCACCAGGCGAACCAGGTTGGTAAGGTTGCTTAGTCGGTCCCGCACCTCCGTAAGGTCCTGGTTGATAGGGACTCTGGCCAGGCTTTGTTTCAGGGCCACCAGGCGAACCAGGTTGGTAAGGTTGCTTAGTCGGTCCCGCACCTCCGTAAGGTCCTGGTTGATAGGGACTCTGGCCAGGCTTTGGTTCAGGGCCGCCGGAAGGACCAGGCTGATAGGTACTCTGGCCAGGTTTTGCTTCAGGGCCACCAGGCGAACCAGGTTGGTAAGGTTGCTTAGTAGGTCCCGCACCTCCGTAAGGTCCTGGTTGATAGGGACTCTGACCAGGCTTTGGTTCAGGGCCGCCGAAAGGACCAGGCTGATAGGGTGTACTTCCTGGTCCTGATTGAGGGGAAGGCTTTGAAGTATCTCCATGTGGCCCAGGTTGATAGGGACTTTGACCAGGCTTTGTTTCAGGGCCACCGTAGGGACCGGGCTGATAAGGCTGCTTCGGGACTCCAGTACCAGGTTTATAGGCAGGCTTCGTTGTTCCAGGTCCGTCGTGAGGACCCGGTTGATACCCAGGTTTCTCCGTGGTGTCAGAAGGTCCATTATCGGAGCCCGGCTTCGACGGATTATAAGGTGTCTTGGTGGTGTCGTGGGGTTTCATGCCGACCGGAGTACCCGGAGCAGGGATCACGTTTATGTGGAAGATCTTGCTGTCTTCGTCGCTGGTAGGCTTCCGCCTGTTCGGCTTGCCACGGTTCGGCTTGCCTTGTCCTTTTACATTCTCCGGATTGTAACCGTCTTGGTCAGGGCTCGGCTTGGAAGATGGCGAACCTGGCCATTGTGGAGCGTTACCAGTATCTGGTTTCTTGTCTCCAAACTGTGGAGCGTGCGGCGTGGCATCAGACCCCGAAGGGCTGCCGTTCGCGTTGTCGTATTCGTTCGGATTCCAACCTGCAGGACTGATAGGTGGCTTCTGTCCTCCGCTAGGGCCCGGAGCACCTACGTTAGGCCCGTGTCCAGGAAGTGGCGCGCCGGGGAAAGCTCCGGCATAGGCGCCAGCACCAGCGAACGCGGTTGCGACATTCTGCGGCTTGTTCCAGCTTCCAGGTCCGCTTGGATTCTTCGTACTTCCTGCATTCCAAGGAGTGCTCGGGCTTCCTGGATTCTTCGGACCTCCGGAATTCCAAGGACTACTCGGGCTTCCTGGACTGCCAGAACCTTGGGGATTCCAAGGACTGCCCGCGTTTCCTGGAGTCTTTGGATTCCCGGAATCCCAGGTACTGCTCGAGCTTCCTGAACTCTCCGAGCCCCCAGGGCCGCTTGGATTCTTTGGATTTCCCGAGTCCCAGGGACTACCCGAACTTCCTGGGCTGCCCGAACCGCTCGGAGACTTTGCACCTCCCGGAGTCCACGGACTTCCGGAAGTACCAGGAGCGCCCCATCCTCCTGGACTGCCCGGAGCCCCTGGATTCTTCGCGCCGGATGGATTCCACGGATTACCCGAATTTCCTGGACCGCCGGGACCCCCTGGGCCGCCTGGTTGTCCAGAAGAAGGTCCGCCGTATGGGGAACCGGATTGGCCACCGGGCGTGTTTCCACAATTGCCGTAAGTACCGGAAGTGCATCCATTTGGCGACCCCTGCGCGGGGTTCTGATAAGCAGGGATTCCTGGCACGGGAACGTTTTTCACGGGTCCAACGCCGCTGGAGCCTAAACAGAGAACGCATTCGATCAGATATATTGTTTGCTCGAGAGTTTCTTTTTTCTCGGTGTTCGAAACCAGTTGTTGGAATGAAGAGCCTTTCGAAGAAAAAGTCGTCAAATATTTAGCTAACCTTGACTGCAACTCGACCCAGGTGGAGGAGTACTGGAACACGGGGAACCTGTTTGGGGTTCATCGTTCCAGCCTCCGGCGGGTTGGTTCGGGTGAGGGCCGCTTCCAGGCTGTTGTCCAGGTTGCTGTCCAGGGTATTGCCCAGGTTTTTGTCCAGGTTGTTGTCCAGGATATTGCCCAGGTTTTTGACCAGGTTGTTGTCCAGGGTGTTGACCAGGTTGTTGTCCAGGTTTTTGCCCAGGGAATGGCCCAGGTTGCTGTCCAGGATATTGCCCAGGTTGCTGTCCAGGTTGCTGTCCAGGTTGTTGTCCAGGATATTGTCCAGGTTTTTGGCCAGGTTGCTGCCCAGGTTGATGACTAGGATATTGTCCGGGTTGCTGTCCAGGTTGTTGTCCAGGGTATTGTCCAGGTTGTTGCCCAGGTTGTTGCCCAGGGTAATGACCAGGTTGCTGGCCAGGTTGCTGGCCTGGTTGCTGGCCAGGATATTGTCCAGGTTTCTGACCAGGTTGCTGTCCAGGGTATTGTCCAGGGTGCTGGCCAGGCTGCTGACCTGGCTGCTGTCCAGGATATTGTCCAGGTTGCTGGCCTGGTTGCTGGCCTGGTTGCTGGCCAGGATATTGCCCAGGTTTCTGACCAGGTTGTTGTCCAGGGTATTGTCCAGGGTGCTGGCCAGGTTGCTGACCTGGTTGCTGTCCAGGATATTGTCCAGGTTGCTGGCCAGGATATTGTCCAGGTTTCTGACCAGGTTGTTGTCCAGGGTATTGTCCAGGGTGCTGGCCAGGTTGCTGACCTGGTTGCTGTCCAGGATATTGTCCAGGTTGCTGGCCAGGATATTGTCCAGGTTTCTGACCAGGTTGTTGTCCAGGGTATTGTCCAGGGTGCTGACCAGGCTGCTGGCCTGGTTGTTGTCCAGGATATTGTCCAGGTTTCTGACCAGGTTGTTGTCCAGGGTATTGTCCAGGTTGCTGACCGGGTTGTTGGCCTGGTTGCTGTCCAGGATATTGTCCAGGTTTCTGACCAGGTTGTTGTCCAGGGTATTGTCCAGGGTGCTGGCCAGGTTGCTGACCTGGTTGCTGTCCAGGATATTGTCCAGGTTGCTGGCCAGGATATTGTCCAGGTTTCTGACCAGGTTGTTGTCCAGGGTATTGTCCAGGGTGCTGACCAGGCTGCTGGCCTGGTTGTTGTCCAGGATATTGTCCAGGTTTCTGACCAGGTTGTTGTCCAGGGTATTGTCCAGGTTGCTGACCGGGTTGTTGGCCTGGTTGCTGTCCAGGATATTGTCCAGGTTTCTGACCAGGTTGTTGTCCAGGGTATTGTCCAGGGTGCTGGCCAGGCTGCTGACCCGGTTGCTGTCCAGGATATTGTCCAGGTTGCTGACCCGGTTGCTGTCCAGGATATTGCCCAGGTTGCTGGCCGGTTTGCTTTACAGGTTGCTGTCCAGCCTGTTGACCAGGTTGTTGTCCCGATGGTTTGTTCCAAGGAGAATCCGCCGATGGACTTCCTCCACTCAACGGTCCACTTTTAACAGGCCCCGAGGTCCAGGAATCCGCACCCTCGCCCGGTGTACCCAGTTTCTGCACTCCTCCAGACCCGCCAGGTCTCTTCTTATGACCATGGTGATGCTCCGGCCTGTACTGACCGTCGTCCCCGTCGTCGCAGTCATCGTCGTTCTCCTCTTCCGGCTCCTCCCAGTCCTCTTCTTTCTCCCAGTCTTCCTCGTCTTCCCATTGCTTCGGGCACTTGGGACATCCGTTCCGGTCGACCTTGCCTCCGGCACCCGGATGACTAGACGGATGGCCATGATCGCTGCCTTCTTGGTTCTGGTTCGCGTATCCGGCGCCGTCGTAGCTGCGGATCCCCTTGTGGCCGTCATGGTCACTTCCGGGAACGCCGCCGGCGAACGCATCCGAACCGCTCAGCGCGAACGCGCCTGCATTCGCGGAAGCGGAGGCGGATGCGGACGCGCCGCCTGCAGCAATGCGACAATACGGTATTATAATACATTCTCCGAATTTTCCAAACGCCACGATTATAATATTATATTATGTAATCTATAATATTATATTATATATTTATTATATATATAATATTATATATAATAAGTATATAATATAATATTATATTCGTGGCGTTTAATATAATATAATGGCCTATAATATAATATTATAGATTTATAGATAATATATATATCCTATCTTTAGCCCGAGAAGCTCGCGCGAGCAGCGTGTCCCGTTACCGTGCAATTCTAATCTATCTCGTGTTCTTCGTTGTTCGCAGTTTCCACGTCTCGGCGGTCTTCGAAACTCCAAGTCCGAGTAGACACGAGTTTTTCTCGCATTGTTACGGAAACCGGTCGACGCGAACCAGTTACGCATGGATCGTCGATGAAAATTGATAGATAAAAAAAAGAATAGACGCAACTATGAGCAAGCGGAAAATCCTCGAAGATCCTGGCGGACGTAACACGTGTTTTCGTACAAAGTAACGACCACTCGTAATTGTCTGATCGCGAGGCGGCAGGCTGTTATTACGAGGCAGCTCGCGAGCTTGGCACACAGGACTTCGGCGACTAATTTCCGTCATCGGCGAAAATTAAAGGAAATACGTACTGTACGCGAGGCTGCCGCCGCCAGGGTTGGTCCTGTAGGCTCCTGAAAGCAGTGATCGAAACGTGTCAGCGGTGGATCCGATGCGTCAACGCGTATAAATAGCGAGGAGGAATGCGAGGACGAGCAGGGAATCGCGAGTAGACTGAAGAATACGCGTGCAAGAAGGAGCGCGATACCGCGTGTGACACGGCGAAAGAGAAGCTGCGACAACAGTTACCTGATCCGACGACGAGCGCGCCGATAAAGAGTAGGACGGCCGGCGGTCCGATCATCTCCGGATGAATCGTCGCGGATGGTTGAATCGTTCCTTTGTGGTCCGCGAGTCACGGACCATTGCGAAGCGAGTCCCTGTCGAATACTTGTATATATAAGGATACCCCCAGCGAGGTGAAAGGATACACGCATCATCATCATCATCATCCCCGACGAAGAGGCCCGGGGCGACGTGGGTGGCGACACGCGATCGGCCAGCTCTTTCTATCGCGGAACAGTCGCGGGACCTGTTCCAGGCGCCGGCTTTGTCTCTCAGGACTACGTCATCCGGGTTTAGGAGTTTCCCGGGACTAAGAATACAGCGCGCAGGATCCTCATGCAAATCAGAGCGTGTAACAAGAATATTCTCGCTTCCGTCGAATTTACGACGCACCGTCGCGTCGCGATGATTTGCCGCGAGATTCTCAACCGCTGCATTCTTCCCCGATGACTTCAAATTTATTCCACCGATCATCGTTCGCCTAAAATCCCTGGCGACGCGTGAATCCTTTAGGATCCGTAGGCAAAAGATAGGTGGATATCTAGGAGAAGATTAACGAATAATAAATAACTGACAGAGATAATCAAGGTCGCGAAAAAAATTCAGCTAATGCAATTTTGTTCTTGTCGTTACTGTCACAAAATGTCTCGGGTAATCGTGATTTTATTGTACTCCACGTGGGGTTGCATGCTAACTAATTATATTATCCTGTGTCAAGGTTATCTTATCCTACGTATTCGTCACGAATTCGGTGTAAGTTTTGCGAAAGGATGTTATTGCACTTACTTGACGAGTGAGAGCACATTATGTTAGATAGAGATTATCTAGATTATCGCTGTGGGTTTTTGTTGAAAAACCTTTATTCGTTCCTATAATACTTACGACGAAAGTGATACACGCCTACAACATCAATTTTAATGAATCTAATGAATCTAATGATAGATCTCAGAAAAATATTCGACACGCGTTTCATTTTATCGACGTGTGTTCTCGTTCAACTGGTGAAAATAGCTCCTAAACTTGGATTTCAAAACGACGGACCCTTTCTCCAAAATTGCATCAAAATCGGCAAGTATCGCTTTGGCGTTTTCCCTTGTTAACTCAGGCACGAATGATTCTTGCCGCTCGGATCATAGGATTCAATGTAAAAGTCGGTAAGAATCATTCCTTTAGAGTAGCGATTGCAGCGTCTCTCGCGGCGAAATGAAGAAGCTCTTTTCGGGGTCCGTACAGCGCCAATTAGTAGGTGGCGAAACGCTGAAACTACTAGCCAAATCTAATTGTCGGTAAGTTTGTCTACCAGTTTCAGTGTTTCGCCGCTGGACTAATTGGCGCTGTACGGACCCCGACCGGAGCTTCAATATTTCGCCGCCAGAGGCGCTGCAGTTACTATTTAAAAAAATTATCTTTACCGACTTATGAATATATGATGAACCGTTTATAATTAAGTATATAAAATGTTCGCAACAACAAATAAGAAAAATTGTAATTACTGCGAATATTCGGTCTGCCATGGTAACCATTTATCTTACGTTATTCGATGACTCAATTAAACGCTACTGATAAATAACAGCAGATTTATTTCGCTAGTTTCGCGATAAAGAATAAAAATTAGTGACGAAGCACTAATTAATTTTGCCGAGTGTTCTCCGGCACGGACGAAAGGGATGGGAACAAACCACACAATTGTTTCTCGTTGGAACAACATTTTATTTATACCTACACTCGTGTATTATCACATCTTTTCGAACTCCAACCATGAAAGTACAGTGATTTTGGGGTTGCACGAAAGATCGTATCACTTTCTTCTTGCTGCACGTGCAACGATAATAAATCTTTATACAAAAATATGAATTCGAAAAATGTTGGACCATCGCGGATTAATAATATATATCGTACAATTCTCCGGCAAGGGGTGCGTATAAGTGTTTCGCGCGTGTCATGCGGTCAAAAGTATCTGCCTCGTGATCATGGAGGAGTTACATATACATATATATATACATATACACACGGATATACATCTACACGAATGTACAGAGTAATGTACACGCATGCACGGATTTCACGAAGAATCGTCGCGTGATCGAAGGCTCGAGTCGCTCGTTTCGCGTTCAACGGTTTACAACTAATCGGGGCTACCGGATAAACGAAATATCGACGACGGTAGCGATCGGAGAAAGTGTGTGGAAGGCACTTCCTTGGCACGTGATCACAGAAGAACGCAGGTACTGTGCAACGAAATCGCGTGGTCCTGAACGAGCCGAACGCGTCGAGCGTCGAGAAGGACGCTGCGAAGCTTCGTTTTTTTTATTGTAGATATCGGAAATTAAAACAGAAACAAACAGAATCTCCGTAATTGTCTCCCTGACTAAACGACTGTCCGTCCATCTGTCTGTCTGTGCGAAAGAAAAAGGGACACGAATGAGAACAGCATTGGAGCTGTAAGCAACGTAGTTGTTCGGTAACGGTTCTAGACTGATGCACATTGCGCGAGAATGGTTAATGATAATGATAATGATGACGGTGACGGTGACGACGACGATGATAATGATAATGATGATAATTATAATAACAATAACAATAATAATAATTAGGTAATATTAATAATAATAATAATAATGACAACAACAATTATAATTAAAAAAAAAAGAGAAAAATGCATTCAACTATGCAGGTGTAAATCATTTCTTTCGAATGTTTTTTCGTGAGCGCCCGATACGATTGCACATCGGATCGCGCGCGCGCGCGGAACGCCCATTTTCTTTTCTTTCCTACATGGATGTTTCCGTTTGCTTTGTACACGTCGTATAAATAAGTAGGATCAATAATTCTTCTAACGACTAATAACTTAGAAAGATACGCGTGGAAATATCTACAAGTATGTATAAAACCATTTTTGTATTGCAACGTGTTCGCTCCTGGAACACTTTCGAAGCGGATATTGCGGATGCGAAGATTATATCTCGCGGGCGAGGGATTGCTGTGAGAGATCGTGGATCTAGAATGATTCTCGCGCATCGATTTACCGGGGCGGCTTGTTTACGTACAATACAAAATGGCAGTTGTGTTGCGATAAAAAGCGCAACGCGCAACCAAGAAAGCGTCGAACGCGAGGCTATTTCTTTGCTCTAATACTGCTGCTTTTCGAACGATCGACCGATCTCCGGGCTACCGGTCGTCTGACAGACGTTTACGAATTTGTTCAATTCGAGGAGACCTCGGCTTGTTTACAATATTTTATTTTGGTTTCGTCGGTCGTAAGGCACGTAATGTGTTCGTTAAACGAAAAAAAAGGGACGCTATATAAAAATGTAAAATCTGCATTCGCTCGTCTCACATGCTCGACTTTCTTGGTTCCCTCTCTCTCTCACTCTCTCTCTCTCTTACACACACAAGCACTCTTTCTCTCTCACATTCTCTTCCTTTCTCTCCACCCTTATCTCGTTCGTATCACGTATTCGTACGCACAAACACACTATATCGTTTAATCCTGTTTCCATCCGAACATCGCGTAGCAACAAGACGTTCGACTCGACTTGACTCGCGGGATCAGCTCCTCGAGCGTTACGCTGACGAATTTCTTAAAACCGTGTGCCGTGTTGGCTCGCGCTTTTCGATAGCCGATATCGTACGAACGAACGAACGACGATCAAAGGAGTCGACGCAACGATCACGGAGCTACCCCGGTTAGTCGCTACGCAAATATATGCGAAAGAGATCGCGCGCTCGGCAATAAATATGTAGGAAGCGATGAACCGTGCACGGATCGCAAGCTGTTACGTAGCTGGCCGTGCTCCGCGGGTTTGGACAGATGGTCTCAGAAGACAGCCAACAGCGAATTAGCGACGAAGGGTAGCTAACTCCCCGCTCGCTCCGTCCGATCTCGTCTCTCGAGTTCTATACACACACGCTGACAAACGTCAACGTTACAAGATCATTTGGTCACGCGTACGAGTTGCGCGTATCGGTTTGGTAGATTGTTCGCAAACAACGTGTCCGCAGAGCTTAAAAACGACTCGATCGGATGACTAGCAAGAACGCGAAAGCGCCTGGCTAACAAACAATCGGACCCGCCTTCCTTCCGCATCCCAAATTTCCAGCTCCGCATAGCGCGATACGTTCTGGCAACCGATTCGATTGTTTCGCGTGATGATCCACCGAGTGCTCTAGGAACGAACGCGCTCGCCGAAGCAACAAAAATAGTCTGCCGCGCGATCGGATCGGCGACAGTGCGGCCGAGGTGCCGCGAAACAAAGAGAGAACGAGAGAAGGAGTGAGCGAGCGTCCGTGGCGCGACCAGACGCGTCGTCAATGCTGCGTCTCCGATATCGTCTTGACGGGCTCCAAGCCCTGTTTCTCGTGCTTCTCCTCGTCCTTGTCCGGATTGTCCCAGGACTGCCTCTGCCCGGAGCCGAAGATTATGTAGAACACCGAGCACACGATGTAGATGCACGCCGAGATCATGAACACCAGCCTCCATTTCGCCTGCGTCGGCTGCAAAAACGGAATTCCTTTCGTTATTCGTTGCGCGCTAACAAGGATCGCGCTTGCCCCTCGGCAACTTCCGCGAGAATCGCATAGTTCAAACATAGAAATGCTAACACGAGAATAACACATTGAAAACAGAATACAGTTAAGCGCCTGCCTGTGGCGCAACAATTGCCGAGGCATCGCTGTAGACAAGAGAGGCTTTGCTTAGGCAAGAGCAAACGAGATCAACGAGATCAACGAGATCAACGTCAGGGATAATTACCGTCCCGACGATTATGTATCCGGCGGTGATCGGGGCGAGAAGACCGGCAAGATTCGCCAGGCAATTGGTGAAGGACATCAGCACCCCGGCAAACCTCGGCGATATGTCTAAGTGGTTCACTTTAAACCCGGAGTAGATGCCGCCGTTCAGGCCCACGCCGACTGTCAGGATGGCTACCGTCAACCAGGAATTACAACTGGTGTACGAGGCGCCGATCAACGCGATCGCGGGCCCGAATTGGCCTATACTGTTGATGATCTTGCGCGTGTACGTGTGGTTGAACTTTCCGGTGGAGATCATCCAGTCGGCCACGTGGGATATCACCATCGAGAAGATCCACATGGCTAGATACGGGAGCGAGGAGATACTTCCGTTCTGAAAGACATAACAAAATCGTTTGGTTATACCGTATATAACTGTTCGCCTTTGTATAGATCCTTGCTTTCAAATGTATCACACAGAATTATATTATCAGCTTTTACATATTATTATATTTTAATCATTTTCGTCTCGTTGTTATATATATTGCTTTGTAATTATATAAATTATATAATTACATATATTATAATATATATAATATATATAAATTATATAATTATATTATATTAATTATATATTGCTTTGTAATTATATAAATACCTATGTTACCCATAATTTTGTAAGTCTTTTTAAATGAAAAATGTAAATATACCTGTTACATTAGAGCAACGATTGCTTTATTCGGCACAGTTATCATTCAAGACTTGGAACAACATATACATATACAGAAACCACGCGCACTGTGCATATTTCCGGAGCGAGTTTCCGTTCGGTACTTCGGCGGATGGAGCTGCCCTAGCGAAAAGGTTAAAAGCCGGTTAGCATCGGAGCTACATCCCCTTACCGATTTAATGTCGAAGTGAAGAATCTGCTTCATGAAGGTCGGCAGCTCGGTCATCAGCGTCTCGTATCCGTAGTTCTGTCCCATATGGGCGATCAGGATGGCCCAGAACGGCAACGAGGTGACGATGGATCGCCACGGCACCGGAGGGGACTGCGCAACGGTCGAAAGAATATTTAATCTCACCGCGTTCGACGATGTCTCCGGAAACACGATCCCGGCTCGCGATACTCACGGTGGCTCCGGCGCTGCCCCACAGCGCGCTCAGTATGTACTTCTTCTCGTCCTCGGGGATACGTGGATGGCTCTCGGGGTCCTCGTACACCATCACGAGGAACGCGACGCACCAGATGGTGCCGATCGTGCCGAACACGTAGAAGATCGATGGCCAGCCACCGTCGAAACCGTATTCGGAAAGGATTCCGCTGAGCGGCATTGATATCACGGTGCCGAATTGGGCGCCTGTGCCGTCGCATGTGAAAAATATAACTGATTAGTGGCGCGCGTCGCCGAGAAGGACGCCGATCACGATAGAAATAGAAAGTGGTTGAAGTGATACAAGCATGTCCAAGACGCGCTAGCCGAGGAGCTCTCGGCCAAGGAGCGCCGCCGACGGGGATTCAAAGTTGCAGGGTAGAGTGCTCTTCGAATGCGAGCGTATTCGTCGAACGATTATTATACGTCTATGGGCACGCGGAAGGCCTGTCTGGACATGCCTGACGTAGAAGAAGAAGAAGAAGAAGAAGATGATGATGAAGAAGAAGAAGTAGAAATGGAAGTAGAAAGAATATAAGCAGAAGAGACAGAAGAAGAAGTAGAAGAGACAGAAGAAGAAGTAGAAGAGTCAGAAGAAGAAGTAGAAGAAGTGATGGAAGATGTAGTAGTAGAAGAAGTAGTAGAAGAAGAAGATCGGGAAAGGAAGAAGCGGTCGATCGATCCGGCAGCCTGCGGGTACACGCTCGGGTCCATCGGTAGGCCGCGGGTAGACGATAGAAAGGAGAGCTAGGGCCTCGTAGAATCGAGGTAGGCAGCAACGAGCTTACCGGCGTAGACGAAGGCACCCATCCTGCTGCGTTCATTCGGCGGTATCCACTTGGCCAGCATCGCGTGCGTGCAAGGCACAATTGGACCCTGCAATAGGGATAATCCATTCCTAGGGGGAGGAAATACACCCGAACGATCAAAAAGCGTTCACACATCACAGCAATTTTCGTCGTGTTAAAATTCTCTTTTTTGTTTTGTTTGTTTGTTTGTTTATCTTTTAACCTGTTTACTGGGGGGATGGAGGAAGACGAGCAGAGTCCTCGCGTTTACCCATTCGTTTACTTACACGAGCTCGACTCTCGTTTCGTTCTCGTCTCACGCTGCGCCGAATCCATTTAACAATGCGAGAGAGAGAGAGAGAGAGAGAGAGAGCCGAGGTCTACCGAAAAACGTGTTCGTTCCCATCGAGACTATTGGTTCCCCCATGGGTGACGCTCTCCCATGAACCGCTGCTGGTTCGATCGTTACACGGGGCCGAGGTTCGAAAGTTTTCCCAGTGAACAGGTTAACGTGTTCGCATACTCTTTCTTTTCTCGCTATTCGTTCCAAGATCGCCTCTTTATCCGATCGACGAGATGTCGAGAGAGAGAGAGAGAGAGAGAGAGAGAAAATTAATGAAAAAGACAACTTACCTCGCCCAGGCCTTGAATAAATCGGACTACCATCAGCCAGTAGTAACCGGCGCGTGCGGACATCGGTACCAGCAAACCGAACACCGAGTTGATCAGCATCCCGACACCGAGGAAATACTTGGACCCGTATCGTTTCGCGAGTATCCCGAACGGTATCTGCGTGATCACGTAGCCGTAGAAGAACGAGCTCAACAGGTAGCCCTGCTTGGTGCTGTCCCATACGAACTCGCCGTCGCTGTGGTTCTGAAATCGAAATCGTGAAATCGTTGTCAGGCTATCCATAATATATATAGATGTAGATATAGATAATACAGTAATGTCTCCCTTACTGACGCTCAGATTGTGCAGAAAAAAGGATATGGGAATTCAGGAAGAAGAGATACGATTATTCGAGCCTTGCAAGCTCGTTTTTATAGCTGTTGAGAATTCGTAACTACAACAAATGAAACGCAAGGATCGAATAATCGTGTCTTCTCTATCTAAATTGCCCATTTTTGTTGACGATCCGAGCGTCAATTAGAGATACATTCTATTAATCCTACACAGGGTGTCCCGAAAACGTCTCGCAATCCGGAAATGGGAGATTTCCGAGGTCATTCGAAGCAACTTTTTCCTTTGCGAAAATCTTCTCCGAGGCTTCGTTTACGAGTTATTAACGAAAAACACTGACCAATAAGAGGCGAGCTCGGCTGGCGCGCGGCGGCCCAGCCAACGAGCGCGCGGAGCTCAGTTCTGCTCACTGGCTCGGCCGTCTCGCGTCAAACGATCTCGCCTCTGATTGGTCACGGTTTTTCGTTGATAACTCGTAAACGAAGCCGCGGATTGCATTTTCGCTAAGGAAAAAGTTGCTTCGAATCATCTCAGGAATCCCCTGCTTTCGGATTACGAAACATCTTTCGAGGCACTCTGTATAAAATAAAATTCTCTCTCGTAATTCGGCCATTCTATTCGAACAGCTCGATCCGATAAGCTCGATCTGGCTAAGAGAGGATGCTTACGGTCGGAACGGCGGTCGTGTTCTGGTCGTAGCCACACTCGTAGGTCGGTATGCCGTGGTCGTCGCGGTCCCGTAGCGCGGTATGGTTCACCATAGCGACGATCGCCACGGACATGTTGGTTCTCATCACGTACGCGTTCGCCATCCCCAGGAACAGCATGAACGTGACCACATGGCGCGAGCCTATCCATTCTGGAACACGCGAAGAACGGACGCGGTTAGCAATGGTGTCGCAACCCCCTGGCGGATTACGCAAGCGAATGATAACGGCGAGTAAGATTGCATCTATAATAGCTGTGTTCATGTTGTTGGTAGAGGCGTGGTAATGACAATGTTGGTTGGTTATATAGTGCGATGCTGGAAAGACGAGAGACATTTAGATTATCGTGTAATAAAATCGACTGTTTCGAAGGACGAGGATACAATGTGTTTGTTCGTAAGGGGGTATGTAATGAGTAACGCTGGTTGGCGCAAACTCCGGATCGCAAGGATTATTATTTCGAAAGGAATCGGCGACGAGCCGGCTCGCGGCGTACCAATCTCGACGGCGCTTCCTCGAAAATGATTATCAATTATCTACGATCGACCGAGCGACCCCGCTCCCGTTGCGTCACTTAGCTCCGTAGACTACGTGCTTGCGGCTCGCGATCATCGCGAGGCACTCCTCTTCCTCTCAGACTCCTTTGTAACGAGCGACTGGTTGATGGGAGAAAGAAAGAGGGACAAAGGAGAGAGAAAGAGAGAGAGAATGAGAGAGAGAGAACGAGAGAGAGCAAGAGAGAGAGAGAGAAAACGAGAGCGAGAGAGTAAGAGAGAGCGAGAGTACGAGAGCGAGAACGAGAGCGAGAGAGCAAGAGAGAGCGAGAGCGGGAGAGAACGAGAGCGAGAGAAGAAAGAAAGGGAGAAAGAAATGGGAGAAAGAAAGAAAGGGAGAAAGAAATGGGAGAAAGAAAGAGGATCCAAAGTGAGGGAGAGAGAGAGAGAGAACGAGAGAGAGTAAGAGAGAACAAGAGAACGGGAGAGAGCGAGAAAGAGCGAGAGAACGAGAGAGGGAGAGGACGAGAGAGAGAGAGAGAGAGAGGGAACGAGAGCGAGAAAAAGAACGAGAGAGAGAGAAAGAGAAGGAGTCTTGTTGCTGTTCGATTCAAGGGTACGGAGATTGGCATTCTGGTTCGTTCAGAACATCGCGAGGAACAGCGAAGATAATTCAAAGCCGGCTCGAATGACGCGTCTATGGTCCTACACGAGGCCGACTCATCGTTACAACGGAATCAATTACGAGAGTCTGAAACGCGAAAAGATAAGCCGGTCGACGTGATTCGACCGCGCTAACGTTGGCTGATTTCGACTGTGACCTTTGCCAATCCATTATTCGGTCGCGGGATCGGACGATCTATGCGAAATGGGTCCACGCAGGCCCCTCGGAACGCGGACGATTTCAGTTCTTGTTGAAACACGGATCGAATAGAATTGATATTTGAATCATTAATCCGATATGAATTACATACCTCGTACACGTGATTTAACACTAAACCTATCGAGCACTGACGTATTTAATTTTATTTTATTTATTTAAATGTACAGGCGAACACCCATTTTTTACCATGAGAAGACAAATATACATAGTTGACTTTGAATGGCAGAGACTGGGTGAATCGTTTAATTAGTTGCAAGTATGTTTAAAATTTACCGTTGTTGTTGTTAACGAATTTAGACTCATCATTTTTATTGCGCTGTATGCTTGAATATTAAGGTATTAATTCTTTAATATACAGAATCTTTGTACCTTAGTATACATATACATATGTATACATAGCACAAGTGATACTTAGTACATATACATTTAAGAATTAATACCTTAATCCAAGCATACATCGCAGTAAAAGCGTCGACGAGTCCAAATTCATTAACAACAACAGCGATAAATTCGACATATTTGCAGCCAACAAATTACGTAATTTACTGATCCTCTGGCATTCGAAGTCGGCTATGTATTTGTTTTTACCTGTATATTTAGGTAAATAAAATTAAGTTAAATACATCAGCGCTCGGCGGGTTTAGTGTTGAATCATGTGTACGAATATGTGTATATATACATCTTAATATAATATAATATAATATAATATAATTGCAATATAATATAATATAATGTATAATATACTATAATATTCTGTAATATACTATACTATAGTATACTATAATATAATATAATACAATACAATACAATACAATGCAATACAATACAATACAATACAATACAATACAATACAATACAATATAATATAATATAATATAATATAATATAATATAATATAATATAGTATATCTTAACCTATTTATCTCTAATATAACAAGTTAAATTCAATATAAAAATATCAAAGATATCGAACCTCCGCACTTCACATCTTAAACTGATGATTTCCGACCGGCTAGATAGTTCTACCGTTAATCGATTCGTGCAACGAGTTGTGTCCATATTCTGGGCCCCGCATGTCCATATTCTTTCGATTCGGATGATCGTGAGGAGGATTCGCGTTGCTCGTCGGCTAATTCGGTCGCAATGTGCGGCGCGGAATTCGTGGCGGACCGCCGACGCGGCGATTCTCGGGGGCCGCGGACAATATCGTTTCCACGTTTGCGAAATTACTTGCACGGGCCTGCCCCCCCCCCCCCCCCGATCTTATTATCGTTTATCGCGCGCGCGAAACGGTGAATCACGCGAATCACGCCGCGAAACACGCCGTATTCGGCGGTGTCCCATCGCGGTACACATTACGTTCGCCGGTTTATTTATACAATTTCCGGCCGATAAGACAGGGTAATAATGATGCAGCTTATTATTAGATCCGATGCAAGATTTATTTTCGGCCCGCGCAACCTATCGCCTAAACCAGCGACGATTATTTTGCGCAGCTTGTTGTCGCGCGCCTCTCTCTCTCTCTCTCTCTCCCTCTCTCTCTCGCAAAACGCTTCCTCCCCGCGCGAGATCGATACACGGTCGACAGCCTCGATTTTCACGTCGACCTGCTCTCTCCGCTTCCTGATCGCCGCAAAAATTCGTCCAAAACTCTCCGGCCCGAATCCGCGGCGAGAACGGAATCCAACAAGGCGAGAATAATCCAGCGAGATGCGCCATCGTTGTCCGCATTATCGTGATAGTTTACAACCGCAAATATTACATACTCCCCTTTTATCTATTCTCTTTCCGCGTTACAAAGCCGAGAGTGTGCCGAGCAATTCAGACTGGTTTGTAGATGCTTATCGAGATCAGGGTCTCTCTCTCTCTCTCTCTCTCTCTCTCTCTCTCTCTCTCTCTCTCTCTCTCTCTCTCTCTCTGTGTGTGTGTGTGTGTGTGTGTGTGTGTGTGTGTGTGTTTATGTGTTTGCGTTGTTCCGTTGTTCGTGCCTTTTATTCCCGGCGATTTTCTCGACCTGAATTACCAGGGGACGCGACCAGAGAATTTCGAGAACGAGCCGATCTTTTATCCCGAAGAACAACGCCGCTTCTCGTTAGGCAACAAGGAAGTCGGTTATGTGAGCGTCAATTCAATTCGCAACGACGGTTAATCATTGGATTAACTTACTTTTCCTGGTAAAGTTCGAGGAAAAACATTGACAACGTCTGCGCGACGGCGACGGCGCGCCGTCGGCTGGTTAAAGAACAGCGAGCTCGGCAGGAGTCGTGTTGCAGCGAGCCACGATCGGCTTGCGTGTGTCAAGTTCGAGGCTCGTTCGAAGCGCTCGCGAGAACAGGCGCTATACGTCCGAGGACGAGGAGGCTCGTTGGCAGCGCGACGAGTCGTGTGTCAGGCGTCGTCTCGACGTCGCGTCGCGTCGCCGCCTCCGTACACGACGCAGAGTTGGGATCGAATCCGACACGCACGATAACGTCATTCTCGGTATTCGAATTTGGGAACGCGATTTCTGTAGGTTCTGTACGTTCCTCATTCTGCTCTACAGCCATTAACGAAACCACGCCCCCTTTTAAGCTTAGCCACGCCTCTTGCGCGGAAAAGGTAGAATCTTGAAAGCTACATTCTTTCAGAGACGTAGAATCTTGAACGAAGACTGCGTGACATAATGCTGATGCCGTTGAAATCTTTTTTACCAAAGCGCTCTGTCTCTTAATTTTTTATTTTTTTTATTATTGCTCGTCGCTCTCAAAGTGAATCTAGAGGAGTCCCTGGGCAAAGGAATTCGAGTTCTCGGTATTCGAATTTGGGAACGCGATTTCTGTAGCGCGAGGCACGCTCTACTCTGTCGTTCCCCGTTCGGATCTACACCCATTAACGAAACCACGCCCCCTTTTAAGCTTAGCCACGCCTCTTGCGCGGAAAAGGTAGAATCTTAAAAGCTACATTCTTTCAGAGACATAGAATCTTGGCTGAACGAATACTGCGTGACATAATGCTGATGCCGTTGAAATCTTTTTTATCAAAGTACTCTATCTCTTTTTTTTTATTTTTCATATTATCGCCCGTTGCTTTCAAAGTCAATCTAGAGGACTCCCTGGACAAAGGAATTAGAATTCTTGGTATTCGAATTTGGGAACATGATTTCTGCATCACGAATGATATTATGATATTCTGTATCATAATGCTGATGCCGTTGAAATCCTTTTTACCAAAGCACTCTATCTCTATTTTTTATTTTTTATACTATCACCCGTCGCTCTCAGAGTCAATCTAGAGGACTCCCTGGACAAAGGACACTCATTGAACGTAATAAAAACGGTGCGAGCGTAATCAACGAAGGATCGAAGCAGCTTGCGAAATGCTCGAGCCCATCTCTAGTCGGGTGTCGCCGTCGAGCAGCTGACTAACAGTCGACGAGCACGTGCTCGCGAGCCGACTCGGTCGAAATAGCTAATAAGCCGCCTAAAGCCGTGGCACGCGCGTGTGTCCGTTCGCGCAATCTTCGGGCTCCGACGGAGGAGCAGAGGAGGGGGGACACGATCGGTTCACTTTCGACGGGCAAACCGAATAGATTTTCGCGCCGATCGAACGATCGACACGTTTTCGTAGCGAGAGCGGAGAGCGACCTTTGGCTCGCGCCGCGCGCCATGCTCGGAATTCGACTCGTGGAAACGGAATGGTAGCGCGATTACGCATCGATATCTTATCGCCTGGCCGAAATCTCGCCCCGATCAGGACCGACTACTGTGTTCCTCCCTATCGATTCGTCCCGTCGATCTCGTTCATCCGCGCGGCCCCGCTTTCGTCCGGACAGCATCCGAGAGATCGCAGACGATCGGCTGTCGACTTCGCGGAGCAATCGATTATTCCGTTTCGTCGCGTTGATTTCTCGCGAACGCGGTTACGCAATCTCGTTGGAATCCCAGCTAACGCGACATGCACACGGAAATATAATTTAGGCGCACGAATTGACCGGACTTTTTCAATGAATTATTTGCTGCTAACAGCAATCGCAAGCACGCTACGAGCGTGCTATCTCGTCTTACGGTTGTTCAAGGCCGAGCTATTTAGCGATAGACGAACAACACTGTTTTTTCGACGGCGCTTCCTACGGTTCGCGCAAAGCAGAATAAAAACGGTTTGCGAGAGCGTAGAGAGAAGGAACGGTTCTCGACCTTCGATACCTTCGAACGTGTTAAGCTCGCGCGCGCGCGCGCGCCCGCGTATGCCAGGAACGCTGGAGAAAAATCGATGGTGCGCGGACAATGCCGGTGGACATGCACGTTCTTGCGCGAAACGTGTAATTATGTGTCGTGTTCCGGTGCGGCGAGCGATAGGCTTGCAGAACAAATCGCCGATTTCGCGTTCCTCTGTCGCGATAACGAGGCCCTTGCTGAACTCGCAGAGGTTAAAACCTTCAATGGAAGTTAGTACGGTGGTCCAATCTAATGGAGAAACTTTGAAACCGTTGCTTGTACCATTCCGAACTAGAAAAGCAGTTACGACAGAAAGAGTTCCACGAGTTACCCCCACCACCCGACCGTTACAGTCCAGTCTCGCCGATACACAAATGTATGCAAAGCAGAGGGACAATAAAAGACGGCGTCGCGTCATCCGACCGTTAGATATATATATATATTCGACAAATTAATAGTAAATTGGATGCAATATCTTCTTCGTCGGGAGCTTCGCGAAAACTTGATCGAGATAACGCTCCAAGAAATGCATGCGTGGGCCGCTATTACGATACCCGCGCGTCACCGATTACTATTAATAAGCTTTATCTCCGATGGAATAGTAGGTGTACGTTATCTTCGCTCGGATCATCGTTGTCACGATAACTCACTGTGTATTTTAAGATGCCGAAGCGAGAAAAGGAAGTCGAATTTGCAGTCGGATTTGTCGAGTTGCCCTAATTCCTTTCGCGGACGCTGTCACTTGGGTCGGTAATGCGCGCCGTCGATAAAGGGCGCGTCGGTAAAGGAAATATCGTCGAAGGTTCGTCGATAACGGCGAACCTCTGATTGTTTCCTCAGCCAGACGTCCGGATATTTTTGAGAAAAATCTTTCGTGCGCGAGTACGAGTTTAAAAAAGTGCAGAAAGCTATCAAAAACCTGAGATTCTATTACGCTAAAAGCGTCTAATTCCGGAGATGACTAGATAATGCAACAATGATGCCCCAACATTGTTGTAACGCAAAGTCATCCATTCTAACCAGTACTTCGAACGATGCGTCCGCCAGATTCGAAGATATCGCTAGGATTTTAAGTCTCCGTCGTTGAAATATTGTAGCAAGCTTTTTCGATGAAGTCTCGAAAAAAAGAAATTTTTCAATGTAGTTCCGAAGAAAAGAAAAACGATGCGACATGTACGTACGAGCCGTTACCTATCGGCGAGCTTTTCGATTGCCACGCTCGACAATAACGTCGTCGACGCGTCGCAATCTATTTTACATAAACGAAGTCAAATTAGTTGTATCCACGATCGCTGCCCACAGCGTTAGTGTGTACACGCAGCGGCTTAGTGTAACGTTCTGAGAATCCATGACCACCACGCTTTGTTCAACTCTTTCCACGTTGCATTTCATACAATTCCGCAACCTCCGAATTGCCCCGAGTACAGTCGGTCGGAAAAGTACCGGAACGCTCGGACATCGCGATAACTTCGCAATTGTACGCAACGATGAAATTCATTAGAATTATCTTTACCGATTGTTTGTCGACGAGTATTAATTCAGCTGAGAAAAATGATCGATGGAATTGAAAGGGACGTGCTTCATTCGCGCGTAAAAAATCATGTTGCAATTATTTTGACGTTTTCCGTCCCCGCCTTTACGAGCGTCGAGCGTCATCATCGTCCATGATTGTAATGAGACTTTGTTCCATAAATAAATAATTAATTAAATAGATTATATAAATGGACGTGAGAGATGTACCGCGGGAGAGGGAGCCCGAGAGAGGGAGAGAGAGACAGAGGGGGGAGGGAGAGCGCGGGAAAACAGTTCGGCAGCGGATAACAGAAGAAAAAGGAGCAGAAGAGAGCGTGAACGTGAAAGTGGATGAGGAAAATGTTAGAACTACTTCACGCGGGGTCCACCCACGCGCGATTATTTTTGCGTGTACGTACGCGGCTAACGCGTACCCGTGACAGCCTGCTGCGTGCGATTTGCGAAATGCAACCGACGCTAACAAAAAAGAAAAAAAATTGCAAACAAGATACACTCCAACTATTTCGTACGACTCGTACGGAATAAACGCTCGAAAATGAATGTTACCGATATCGTTATTGTTCCAATTAGAGTTACGTTGATTGCGACAAATAACCACGAGTGGAAACCAATTAAATAAGTAAATAAAGCTAGATACCAAGTTAGAAGTACACGAAATACTCAGAATTACGAGTACATATAATATATCCTTGTTGACAACTATCGAGCGGTCGTTTCTTACTTATCGACTCAGGATACATGCCCCCAACAACTCTTGCTTTCGCGAGTCTTTTAGTAAACGAAAATCAAAGCTGAATTCTCGGATGTTAGCGGTGTATGATTAGTTCGATAAAGAATTCCTAATACACCCTCGAGTTAGCCGAAAGGATTAATTACGGAGCGGAGTTAATATCGCGGAACGATAAAAGTAGAGTACGCGACCGCAGTCGATTAATTCTAGATAAGAATAACGGCTCGAAATATTCGACGCGCAACACACTGAATTCCCGAAATTGTTCGGACAGATCGGACATTTCGTTGGGACTTTAAACGGACGCGAACTCTTGAAACCGTTCCAACTTCGAAATGGATCGAACGATTTGAAACAATTCGATTTCCAAGTGGATCGATCTACTCGTCGGTACGTCAACCAAGACGGAAACTGTCTCTCTCGCTGATAGAGCGATTTCGATTTGGAAATACCTAGTTGCAAAAAACGATCGGAACGCGTCGTTCAGTGCCTGTGGCCATGCGACGGAGTCGCGTTCAGCCGAGAGAGCGAGAGCGAGAGCACGTGGTCGAAGACGCATTTACCGAAGGCACATGCACGAGATCGCACACAGCCCCGTGTACGCACACACGTCGAATATGTTTCCAGGAGAGGCTCGAGGGCAAAGTAAGTATCATCGGGTAAAACTAGTCCAGGAACGTGGCCAGTCGTGGTCTAAGAGACCCAGAGAACAAGAGACATACTTCGTTTTCTCGACAAGCTGTCCTCTTCCTCCAGGCCGGGTTGCTCCCATACAAGCACGTGGCCATTCCGTCCTCGGTTCTCGCCGTTGGCTCGGCCGTTGCCGTTCATCCCGCCTTTGGCGATTCGCTGGCTCTTTCTCTCTCTCTCTCTCTTTTTCCTCTCCCTCTTTCTCTCTGCGAGCTCTTTAGCCACGGGCGAAGCAGATCCGCGAGGGGTCTCGTGGCCGAACGTGGAACTCGAAAACACGGAATTCAGGAACACGACGGAACGAAGAAGACAGAGAAACGAATTGTCGATAGACAGCGAACCGTCGAGGATTCGCGTTTCCGTCGTCCGACTTGCTCGTCCGAGTACTAGCGATTATTCACGGAATTGTATTTGCTGGCCGACGACAGACCGACACGACGAGACGGCGCGAGAACGGGCGAGAGAGAGAGAGACGGAGAGAGAGAACACCGCTCTCGAGTGCTTCAGATCGAGAGCTCGAGGGACACGAGACACGAGACACGAGACGACGACACTCCCGGGAAACGCGAGAACGTGTTCGGTCGACACCGAAAGGCCGCACTGCGCGAATAGAATCGGCTTCTAAGCGGTGAATCGGTTGACGGTTTCGTGCACACCGATAACGATGATTAACAACGATCTCGTGTGCTCGAGAGCGAGCACGCACCTGCCTCCCTCCTTCTCTCTCGCTCCCTCGGCCAAGTTCGGCCGGCGTTCGGCGCCCCGAGTTTCGGACGAACCCGACGTGACCGAAGTCGTGGCGGCGGGACGCGAGGGCAGCCGAGGCGCGAGCGCGGCCGGCCAATCGGCGCGCGTCAACGTTCCGTCGGCCGTTGGTTGGCCGCGTCCGCGCCATCTACCGTTCTCGCCGCGATCCGGCCAATCGCGGCAATGCGCGCCAAACTGGCCGCGTTTCGCGGCAACCGTTCGAATCGGTCTAACCGACGGAAATCGAAACGCACGAAACTTGGACGAACAGCGTCGTCGCGATCTTTCTCCCGTAATCTTCGCACCTGCCCACGCAATCACCGCGTACTTCTGCATGATCTAAGCATATTTTTCTTGTCCCTCTCATCGCTGAAATGTTTACCTTATCGTTCGCAGTTTACCTGGCACACTTTCCGAAGCAACGACTCACGCGTCAGGCAACTGACAGTTTTATTATCGTCACGCAACTTTGTACTCCTCCGTGCTCTTCCTACTTGCCTGCGGAGCTTTGCAGTTACATCGTGACGACAGATAAAAATCGAGGAAACTTCCTATACTCTACAGATTCGCACCGATGTATTTTCGAATTGCAGAAAAAGTTGCAACGAAGGCGAGCGCAATGGAGGAACGATTGGTATAGAAAGCGGGCTCGTAGGCGGGACAAGAGACGACGGGCGGCGCTACACGGGTTCGTCTGTGCTTCGCATTTAGCCGGGCGATCTATCCGTCAGGAAATTGCGTAACCAGCGGATCGTTTGCGAGGAGATACAGCGGCTCCAAAATCTGCTAGCGGCCGCGCCTTATCGCGAGATCGGCTCGCCGGAACACCGGCGACCGGCTAATCCCCGTGGCGTTATCAAACCGCCGATGACAATATCGTTGCGCGTGGATCGCATAATCGTGGCGCGATCTATAGCGTTTACGATCCGCTGCGCCAAGGATCGCACAGGGGTTCGGATATATTATATGTAACGCGGCGTTACAGCGGCATGCACGCCGGAATCTTTCGGCGCGCGCGTTATCGCTTCGAAGAGATTTGATCGGGCGGGATCGAGCTGCGCCGAACGATGAGTCATTCCCGCGATACACGCTCGTAACGTTTGTTTAACCAGAGTCGCGCTCGCGTTTCGCAATTAACGCCGGCAAGGACACAGGCGACGCGCATCCGCCGCAACGGAGAAACGCGCGCGCACGGCCAGGCGGCGCGAGACTTTCCCGAAATTCCCGAGATCCGATCGATCGATAGATCGATTGATCGCGCATCGATCGGGAACGGGTATCGGCACACGAGCCGGAAGAAACACGCGTTAACGTTCGTATTAACCGCGTGTCGCCAAATCGCGGTTTAAAATAAAGATGCCGCGGCGTGCCAATAATAGCTCGCGAGATTCGCGTGCCAAAAAACCGTCGTGTCGCGGAGCCCGACGATCACGCCTTCGCTTCTCGCCGTTTCCCCTTTTTCATTTGTCTCCCGCACGACGACCGTTGTACAGCAGCCGGCGATCCTCCCGCGAACGGATCCGCGAGGATGACGCTGCGGAAATCGCTGCTACGCTCGCACGGGAACAGATTTCATCCGAATCGAAATTCTGTGGTCGGAACATGAATCGTCGCCGCTGCGCGACTTGACTCAGCGATATCACGGAGAGAGATGATGACGACGATGACGACGACAGCGGTGATTTACTTAAGGCAAACAATTGTTCGCCAATTTGTGTGTAATAACCGGCTAAACGTAATTTCACGTTTACGTAATACCGTTAAATATGGACGCATAGTTGACACGGACGGCTGCGTGCCTGCGTTTAATCGAGATATTTCTGTACTGTCAACCGCGGGAAACGAGACTAACTCTCGCGATTCTTGCACGACATTAACCTAATTTCCTCGTTCTTTCCGCTAATTCGACAACATCCAACGATCGTTACGTGCTCAACGGATCTAAACGACGTCGTAGGAACGTATCTGAGAACATGTTTGCTCGATTCTGGCTACGCTGCGCCGAGAACTGTGAAAAGATAACAATGAGGTAATCGCGATACGTGTTGCAAAGATAATTTTCCCAAGAAACAATCTCTTCTGTAAACAGATAACGTGGCTCGCCAGGGAGGCTGCCTCCTCTGCGATCTATCGATAAAGGAATTACCTACGCTGCCCGCGCCGTCGGTAAATACGGTAGCGCGGTATCTTCGTACGATAGGGAAGGTTCCCGCTTGCTCGGCTGGACTAGTCGGTAAGGAACGTCGCTGCGTAATCGACGCTCGATCAATCGACTCACCTGACGGAACGCGGACGATTCGTTCGAGCCAAGAACGGATCGCGTTTCGACGCGCGACGTTCCCGGCCGGCACGACCTCGTTGGTCTTGGCCGTTCTAGTCTCCGGGCATCGCGAGCGACAACACAGGAAACAGTTGGACCCCTAAACGTATTATTCACTTGGTAAAGTGGAAAATAACGTCCGTCGTGGGCGAGAACCGAAACGGCCTGCACGCGAGCCAGCCGGAAACGTCTCCGGATCTTGGAATTAGAATCGCGCGGGTCGTACGTCCCGCGTAAAATTGGCCGCAAACGAGAGCGCGGTGCTCGGCTCGACCGACATCGCATCGAACTTTCCTCTCGATCCGTGTCAAGGTGTACACGGTTTTCGCGATCTGATGTCGCGCCGAATGCCGCGGCGCCGTCCGCAAGACGTTCTACGCGTAGACGTCGGTGGCGAGCGCCATTATTCACCGGCCGCGTTTTCGAAACCCGACACCTACGTCGCTCGAATACAAACGAAGCGTCGAGCGGGGGAAGCTCGCGCGTTCCTTCGGCCGTATCCGTTTTCTTTGCTCCTCGCGGAGGACCGTGAACCACGGCGATCACGTATTATAGCGAGCGGACTGTGACTCTCTTTGCTTTATTACCGTTTTTCCCGACGTCGCCGGCTGGCTCCATGTATTTCACTTTTATTCGATCGAATTTTTTTCCCGCCCCGGTGGCGCAATCCTAATTAGGAAAGCCGCGCGAGGAGGGGTGGCGAACTTTCCTAACGATTATGGAACGCCGCAACGAGTGCACTCGTTGCGGCAGCGGCGGCGGCGTGCCGAGACCGGCGTTGCATAACCAGACGCAGCGATACACGACGAGCCCAAGTAAAAACTGCTCGATGGAAGAAACACATAATAACCGGCGATTTAACCATTTAGGCACGACGCGCCACTATAGTGGCTTCCGCGAATGTCATCTTTTAGAACGACACGCCACTATAGTGGCTTTCGCGGATGACATCTCTCTGGACGACGCGACACTATAGTGGCATGTTCTAGTAGCTCACTCGCTCATCGTTTGAACCAAATAATCGTCTTCGTATGCATTGTTTCGCACTTCTTTTGTCTTCGCATCGATTTACAACAGTCTACAGGGTGTCACAAAAATGTCTCGCAATCCGGAAATGGCGGGTTCCTCGGATCATTTGAAGCAACTTCTTCCTTTACAAAAATGTTTTCCGAGGCACCGTTAACGAGTTATCAACGAAAAACAGTGACCAATAAGAATCGATTACGGCTGACACGAGGCGGCCCAGCTAACCAGCGCGCGAAGCTCATTGGCTCGGCCGCCTCGCGCCAGCTGAGCTGGGATTCGACCGCTCGACCGCTGGCGCCATTGGCTCGGCCACCTCGCCTCTCATTGGTCACTGTTTTTTCGTTGATAACTCGTTAACGGTGCCTCGGAGAACATTTTTGTAAAGGAAAAAGTTGCTTCAAATGGCCTGAGGAATCCGTCACTTTCGGATTGCGAGACATTTTTGGGACACCCTGTATATACAGACAGAATACACAGTATCAGACTCTGTACAGTACACATCAGACTCTGTCGTCCAGAGAAATAGCCTCGCGCAGAATTCAGCCATACCTAAAAGGTTAAGGCAGAGCGTTCTCAGTCAAGGACTGCGTCGCTGGATCCGGCGGAGAATAGTGCGGCAACCGTCATAAGACCGTCGTGGAGATCCGCGCGATGTCGGAACCGGCCGTATCGGAGCGTTATCGTGAAATAGTAGACGGCGAGATGGTTTCGAGCTGGACGTCGATCGGGACCGAAAGTTCAGCGCGCTGGTGTTCCGTGAGGAATGACGGACGCGTCCGACGCGGCTGCACTGTTCGCAGTTCGAACCGACGCGACGACGGCGGCAACCTGGAACGCTCGTTCCGGGGAGACACACGTAACACGCACGGACTTTCTACTTTCTTGGTGATTTCGACGTCGTCGTTCGAACAGGCCTTCCGGCATTCGTTCGAGTGCACGCGACTAGATTAGGCCGCGATCATCCCTCTCACTGTTACGAGTCGGACTCGCGATGGAAATTTCGTACATGATATACTAACTAACAACGTTATTTATTTATTCCAAATCGAAACAAAATATGATTCTTTCGTTGTCAAAGCCTGGAAACGAAAGTAAATTTAATTATAATAATATTATTTATAGTAATATTAATTATAATTAATATTATTTATAGTAATATTAATATTAATTATAAATATGTTATTTAATTATAAAGTACAGTAAATTTTCTCCGATCAGCTTTTAAACGAAAATGGACAATTTGGGCCTTGTGGCTCGCTTTTGTAATTATTGACGATCGGCAAATATAAAAATAAGCTGCCAGGCTCGAATAATAGAAATTTCGTCGTAGGAGTCATTTAATGGAGTAACTTAATTATTGAATCATTCTAATAATGAGCGATTAAATTTGAATATAATTATTCCTTTAATAACAAAACTGTGTCTAAGGTAATAAAAATTAATAAAATTACGCTATCAAATGAAATGAAAACTATAAAGTTAACTATCAAAAAACTATCAAATTAATGAACCAATTACAGAAATAATATTTCAGCAATAACATGCATCGGGATCACCTCCTCCCAAATTGCCCACTTGGAAAATTAGGGAGAATTTACTACACTAATCAACGCAGTTAAGAAATCGTGTCGCAACGGCTCGAACG